GATCCAAGGGGATGCAGAGATCCACCTGCAGCCCGTGGGGGAGCCCCACACCAGAGCAGGAGGATGCCTGAGAGGAGCTGTGACCCTGTGGGAGACCTGTGGAGAGAAGGACCCTGCTCCCATGCTGGAGGAGCCTGTCCTTGGAGGGCTGCACCCCGCGGAAGAGTGACCCACACCACAGCAGTTTGAGGAGGATTGGTGTCCATGAGATGGGTTCATGCTGGAGAAGTTCATGGAGAGCTGTCTGCCATGGGAGGGACCCCAGGGCACAGCAGGGGAATGACTCCTCTCCCTGAGCAGAGGGAGAAGCCACAGGAGATGAACAGATCACAGCCCCCATTCCCTGTCTCCCTACACTGCTGGAGTAGGAGGTGGAGCTGAAAGGAAGGAGGGGTGGGGAGAAGGTGTTTTTACTTTACTTCTCATTCTCCCACTCTGATTTTGTTAACAATAAATTCTCTTCATATCTCTAAGTTGAGCCTGTTTTGCCCTTGGTAGTATTTGATGAGTGATCTCTCCCAGCCCTTACCTCAACTCATGAACCCTTCATTATATTTTCCCTCCTCTGTCCAGCTGCAGAGCAGAGTGAGTTGCTTTGGTGGGTGCCTGGCAGCTGGCCAGTGTCAACCCATGACATCTACTCATTTGGATCCTCCTCATGCCCAAAAAATGTGTGAATCCTGCCCCTTGTGCCCAAACTTGCCTCACAGGGTCGACAGCTATGTGCGAAGGATAGAAGATCCAGGGCTTGGATTGTCAGTCTCCTGTTGGGAGATGTGTTATGGACCACTAAAACCCTGCAATTGCTCAGCTAGGAAAGTATTAGATGGAAGTTAAGTACCACTGTATCTGATGAAGATCATTCTCAACAGGAACTATTGCAGTACCTGTAAAAAACATTCACTGTGGATGCAGCATCTGTAAGAAAGACAAATTCAATTCCAGTTTCACTAAAGAGACAGTGAAGGATTAAATCCCATTTCACAGTATGACATCCAGACAGAGAATCAAATTTAATTAGTTACCAGACAAGATTTACCATCCACCAGCGTTTAAGAAACCCCCAACTCTAACTTCACTTGCACTTGCAGTCAGTCACCAGTCTTCTGCAGTTCTGCAGGATGCCTTTGAAAGCAGCCACCTCATAGAATACTCCAAAGTAATATAGTGGGAAGTAAATAGAACATATGGATAGGTGGGCTTATTTTATAAATGGCTTTTAACTTCTTCCAAAGACACAGGAAAACTGGATTTTACCAGGTTTAACTAATCTTATATCCAACCCTCCATTTTTTTGTCTCTACAGAATATTTTATCTTGGGGCTGCAGTATTTTTGAGGACTGAAAAACTGGCTTTAGGGGAAGTTTTCTTTGTAATTATTTATGCACCAGTAGTACTAGGCAGCCCATATACCAAAATTAGGATCTTTTTTCCAAGTGCATTACTTAATCTGCAAAAACTCACTCAAATTAAATATGCACACATTAGAGAAACTGGGACTTAGTCACAAGGGCAAAAGAAAATTGTTTCAATATTTTGCCCCTGAAGCTAAAGAAAAGATCCAACTGTTTTTCTTGGATCCTCTTCCGTGATTCTCTTCTCTCAACATCAATTTTTTATAATAAAAAATGGTCAAAGTTCCAGATTTTTTAATGCCTTCACATAAATAATTTACAGACTGCATAAAACAAGGGATAAATAAAAGGACCTTCTTCATCACCCTTGTGAGTACACTGAGCACAGTCCTGGTGAGATGCCATTGAACCCAGTGAACTGTGCCTCCAGAATCTGATTTGGAGAACTCATATCCATAAACACAGTTGCATGTAACTACAGATGTTTTACTGACACAATATGTAAAGCAGTACAGTGGGGAGGTACTGGTTTGTTTTTGTTTTTTTTAACTGCTTGTTTTTACTACTAGCTTACACCACCACAGAAAAGATAAAACTGCCAGTTTAGTTCTATAATTCAAATTAATGCATAAATCCAAGCATCCAGAGTTTTAAGACAAATAAAACTATTTGCCTCAGAAATGCAGAAGCAATATAATCTTTTAACTGAAAGTGATTAAACCAGAGTAACCAATGGAGATACATTCAAACTCCCCAAAATTTTCAAGTAACAGTAATTATTATTTTACCTCTATCTTTACCTCTAAGCTAAATGTGTTTGGATTTTTCTGTGCAGATAACCAGAAAAATCATTAAAGTGTGGTTTTGTTCACTAGCCAGTGATTAAAGATCTCTTTCCAGATGTGTTGGGGTCTTGCTGTCTCATTAGACTAAACCCTTTGCTGTGGGCACTGCATGACACCTATTTCTGTTTTTTCTAACAGAACATGTTGCCACAACATCGTTGAGCAATTTCTCTTAGATTAACAAAATCTCTTTTTTGGCATTAGGAGAAAAAAAGAATTCAATGCAGAGCTCTGGGTAGGGAGTCAACAAAGGAAACTCTCCCACACCTTTCATGCCCAGTGCTTGGTGACACAGGGCAGAACTGTCCCTTTCATTCACTCTCACACCAGCACCACAAGGACACCAGGGCACAGAGATCACCCTGAAATCCAGGTATTTTGCTTTGTGTCATGGGTCCCCTGATGAAAGGGTCAGGGATAGGGATGGAGGGGAGCTTGTTAAGTGTTTGCTTGGGTGCAGCCATTCCTGTGGCTCCACTCTCTGGGGTGCTCATTAGGGAGGTGTTCACACACTGACCCTGCCAGTGGGTTTGGCTCACACCCACAAAGACTCCCTTGTGACCACAGGAAAGGGCATGATTTTAGCATGATCTGTTATTATTGTGCTCATTCTTCATTGTAAGACCTCAGCCCTTCCCTAACCTTGTGCCAGATTCTAACATCTGGGGGATGGAATTTCCCATGCCAGAAGTACTAGGCTGCAGAGCTGCCTGGGACATCTTTCACTGGCCTGTGTGCACCCCACAGTCAGAATTTTAATAAGGCTTAGATGAAAAATAACCTCACTAGCACAAGATGGTTCAGGCCAGCTGTAAACTGTTGCTAGCTGAGACAGAGAATCTTCACAGCCTCCTTTTTTCCTAGTACTAATTTCATGTTCTATTAAGGATTTCTTGTAGTCCTTAGACTTAACTCAGGGTTCTCACTGATCCCCACTCCCCACTAGTTATCAGTCTCAAGGGAGTGTAAAAGTTTTCATTTAAAATAAAGACAAAGCTCAGAAAAAGTATTCTTTGCCTCTGACTGGTCCCTCCCCACTCTGAAGATGTTTCAGTGGCCTCTGGTGGTACCCCTCTATTTGGAAGCAAGGATTTGAAATCTGGCAAAAGAACCACACTCCTCTGTCAGGGATAGGTTTTCTTTCTTTCACCTACACAATCAGGTATGAAGACTGGGATGTGGCCCCAACTCCCTCCATCCCCTGGAATTTTCACCGTGAAGTTTCCTAACTATAAAGGAGGAGGCTTTACCTTTCCCTAGTTCTCTGAAATTAGTATTTTTAAGTGAGTAAAGAAAACAAAAGCCAAGGCCCTGACTCATCTCACCTTCAGCATGCTTTTGGATCAATGTGTTTTCTCCTTTTTATCATTTCCAGACTGGTAGGAAAAATGCAGTCCAATATCAGTGACTGATAATGCAGTGTTGGGGAAAACTGTTCATTTTTGATTGAACAGACATGTTAATCTCATTGTGATGTAAATGAAAGCTGCCCCTGATACATTCCATCTCTTGACATTTCCATTTCAACCTGTCCTTCAGGGATGTTCACCTCCAAGAAATGCATTAAGGGAAATCAGAGCATATAAGGATGAAGCAGGACAGTAAGCAATGTTGATATTGCATATTCAAAGCAAAAAGTACAATAATGTCATTTTAATTGAGCTGCAGAGAGTGCAGCTCCTTTCTAATTTCCTGTACAAAGTAATGCAAATATATGGAAACTTAAAATTCAAAAATCATTTCAGTTAGCTCTGGTATTATCTGATGGAGCAAACAAGAATTAGATGGATGTCGTTGTAAGTAATATTCAACTTGAAATCTGTTTTCTAACCAGAATAATTATCTTTATTTTATTTGAATAAACAAGAGCCAGGCAGAGAGTTTCAGAGTATGTAGAATAGTTTCAATCAACATTACAAGAATATTATTAAAAACAGCTCCTCATATCCCTTTACAGTAAGTAACATAAAAGAGACCATGGAGACAGAGTGTATTAAATTTCTCTTACAATAAGATCTCATTTCCAAAAATGGAATATGCATCAGTGTTCCTTTATGTACAGTTGATATAATGCAAGCATCAAGGATTAATCACTCTATGTAAGAGGTGCTGTGATCATACATTACTTTAGCCCAGCATCCATATTCCAGTGTCCCCTTTTGATTTGAGCTTTTGAAGATAATGATCCTTCAAGCTGTATTCATGGACATGTTCCATCAAGGCTGGATGACTCTTTATTTGAATAAAGGCTGCAGGTCTTCTGTCAGCTACCTCACATCTTGTATATTCATTGTATAAAGGTGATGCATAAGTATCAGAACAGCAGTGCATTCTGGATTCCGGAGGAAAAGAAATACTTTGTCTCTACAACAAAAGAAGAATTTAGCTCAACTCACCAGAAAGACCATTGCTTTTAATATTTTAATTTCCTTTATTACACATGATACATGATTCCTCCTCTATAACTAGGAACTCACAGCAGAACATAAGATGTTATATCCCTCATTTATTCTGCACTTTGTGAATTAATTCAAAAACTCTTTTGTACACATTGACATTTTTCAAAAAGACAGAAACCAAATTAATTGAAAATAATGATGTAATTAAGTTTTTTCTATTTTTGCTCAAACTTCAAATTATACTACTCCCCATTCTCAGGTCAAAATCATTCCTGTAAATACACATATTCATTGCTGGTTGCTTTGTTCTGTTTTATTTCAGCACGACTTTCCTATGTTAAACAAAATGGACAACGAGAAAGCATTGATATAAATGTACAAAGAAGATGCTTCTTGTGGGGTATTGAAGAGTTGGGAAGTTCATAGTCTTCATACAAATATATAAAATATTTGAAATTTTCTCCATTCATTGGAATCCATTCAGTTTCACTTGTCAGACCTGTGCAACAAATACAAGACCAGAAATTAATTATTATCAGTGCACTCACAGGTATTTTCAGATCATGCAGAAAAGCTGTGAGGGGGAGGACACTCTCCACATCTGCAATTTTTCCTTCTCTGACAGCACTGGTTTACAGCCAAGTTCAGGGAATACAGATCTTTGTGATCCACTAGCTTTTCCCACCTACAGTCCAGATCTCTGTCTGATGAAACTTCATGATTGTGTCAAAACTTCAGGCCTTTAAAGCCTTGAGTTTTGCCCTTGGCACAGGGTGCTGGGTCTCTGCCCCACCCCACTGCCATCCCATGCCATCCCATGCCATCCCATGCCATGCCATCCCATCCCATCCCATCCCATCCCATCCCATCCCATCCCATCCCATCCCATCCCATCCCATGCCATCCCATCCCATGCCATCCCATCCCATCCCATCCCATCCCATCCCATCCCATCCCATCCCATCCCATCCCATGCCATCCCATCCAGCAGAGCCTGGGGGCAGGCAGGTCCAGCCCTGCACAGACCCTGAGTGGGGCTCAGCCCCAGGAAAGCTCTGCCACTGCTCCAGCAGGCACAGGAGGCAAATCCTGCCATGTGGCTCAGCAGTGTGGCTGTGCTGCAGGGAGTAGGGATGCATCAATTCATAAAAATCAAAATGGTATTTAATTTTACCATTAAATACTACTTACTGATATATACATATATATGTCTGTGCATTTTAATTTTTTTAACTGCTTTGGTTACCCTCTTCTCTTGCCTTTTCTGTTCTACCCATTAGAGTCTTCACTGGTGAGATTCCATCCAAACTGAATAGTCCTGGGCAGTTTTCAGCCTCTCTTCTTTTGGTCGTGTATATCTTCCTGTAACTACTTTTGTCACAGCTCCACTTCTCCCTATTTCTGCTTTAATTCTCCTGACTGACCAGCACTAAGGACAGTATTCTAGAAATAGTAGCAAAATATCTTCTGTGTTCTTTTCATAAATCCCACTTAATTATTTATTTATATATCTAAAGCAAGGTTGAGGGGGTGCTCAGCTTCTGTCTGGGGAGTGATGAGCAATTTCCTTTGACCCATCTACAAACTCTTTCCTGCACAGCTAATTTGAAGCCCAGCATAGGGCCTATTTCTGCTCTCTTTGAAGTTAAAAAATGCCATGCTTTCTATTGATATCAGTGGTTCTAGATGGCTCAGCATTGAAAACCCTCAAAAGGTCAAGACACTAACTTTCTCAGCATACATGTTTAATCAGCTAAGATATAAGTATTTGAGGTGGAGGAATATGTCTACCTTTGGTAAATTTTATTGAACTCATGACCCTTTAATAAATGCTTAGAAAACAGAGAAAAAGTCACAGGACAGAATAAAGAATGACAACCTTCTATATCTCATGATGAGTTACATGAAGGGAGTTTTTGCTGTGCCCCTGGACAGGCTGTGCACATTTGAGCAAACAGTGGAGGGACAAGGCTGGGATTTCTTTGCTTTCAGAAAAAACTCTTCCCTGGAGAAGAGAGGTGCTATTAAGAGAAACCTTGCATGGCTTACACAGACTGCTTGAAAGTGATGGCAACCTTTAAATAAAGAAGTCAAATATTAATTAACTTGTCTAGAAAAAAAGTGAGAGGGAGTCATTGCCCTCAGTGAAATGGCCATAACACCAGATGTTATGTAGTGCTACCAACACTCTGTGGCCATTAGCAATCAAATGACATGGCCTTCTCATAGCTGGGCTCAGCAGGGCAATGCACTGCTCTGTTTCAGCTGAAATTTCCTTCCAGTCAGGTAATTTAAGGTATTTCTCTTTCTGCTCTCAAAAACAAAACCCACCTTTAGGGCTGTATTTGATGGCTCCCTGGGATACACACACACAAGTAATCCTGTCCTATATAATTACCTCCTGCCTACACACACTCTCCATGTGCTTCTGCATTCAGGATTATCCTCCTTTCTCTTTCAAACTCTTCTGTGCCTGTTCCTGAGTATCACAGAGTGGCTGTTTTCAAGTGGTATGTGAATAAAATATTGCTGGCTATGACTGAACTCAAGGGCTCAGGCCTGGGATCAGGAGAAAGAGTGTGCAGGGCACAGCAGGCAAATCTGAGCACAGTGTGGTCCTCAGCATCACAAGTGTTTTCTGATCCTTCTGCTGAAAGAGGCCAGTGACAGGTTCTGCCTCCAAACACATTGTGGGCAGATTTTGGCACGATGGACAGCTGTAATTTAGCATTCTGGGGTTTAGGATTGCATCATATTTTTTTTGTACCTTTCTAGCATATTCAGCATTTTAGATTTTAGGCTGTGTTTTCTGCAGGTGTCAACCTGAAGGATACCTCTGCCTTGCATGGGAGCTACATGCTTATCTTCTTTAAGTAGTTTAATCTGTCCTTATTTCCTGAGTTCCTAATGACAGCCACCCTGTGCCGGGCACATCAAGCCCCCAAGGATCATGGTAATACAAAGAAGGTGGGTACAAAGCCTTTGGGTACAAAAAGGATGGAGACAGACTTTCCTCACTGTGCTGAGCGACAGGAAAGGAGACAACAGGCACAAATTGGAATACAGGGAATTTCATCTAGACAGGAAATAAAACTTTTACCATCAGGGTGGTCAAACACTAGTCCAGGTTGCCCAGGAAGGTTGTGGAATCTCCATTCTTGGAGATACTCAAACCCTGACTGGACCTGGCCCTGAGCAATGGCTGAGCAGGACATTGGACTGGATGTTTTCCTGAGGGGGTCTTGGGGGTCAGGCAGTCTGTAAGTCTGTCAGAGGCTTTGCTTGTCCCAGGGGAAGCTGTCCTCTGCTCAGGAGGGCCAAGGTGGATTCACGGGCCATGTGCAAGGTCCCTCTTTCCCCTGCCTGGCTGTGGAGCCATCACTGAGTGGATTTACAAACTAAAACAGCAAGGTGCTATAAACTGTATTACTGTGTTGCTGATAAAACAAGTAATCTGGTTGATGGGATTACTTTTGGTCACATGCTCCATTTTTTCAAATACTTCTTTGTCCTTTCTTTGTTTCCTCATAGCACCCACACCTTTGACCTTCTTCTCCCATTGAAATCAATATCCCTTAACACCTTTATGATCTCAGGATTGAAAGGTCCAAACTGGCACTGTATCCCATCCAGCCAAGCAAGCACCTCTCTGCTTCCCTCCTTCCATGGCACAGGTCTCTCACTAGGCAGAGGACCACCAAAAGACCTGCTGAGTCCAGTTCTTCCAGTCCCAACTGGGACACAGCAGCTCCAACCAAAGGAAACCCAGCCTTCTAGGAGACCATGTGCCTACAAGAGTAGCTAGTTAGCAGGAGGAGCAATAAAACCCAAAAACTAGAGATCCCAGGAATGCTGCCACTTGTCATCTAAAAGAAGCAAAAACCAAAGTGCCATGATGATAAATATTTCCACAGGGCTCAGGTGTTGAGGAAAATCAAGCCCACTTTTCTAAAATTTTGTCTAAAGCATGCTGCTTGCAAGTGGTGCTATTTTAACACCTGGTAACTGTATCATCTTTCTCTCAGGTATACTCTCTGCTCTCTGGTTGCTTATAATTACTGCCTGAGCTCCCTTTGCAGTCAGTGGACTCTCTATTATCTCCCTGTGATGCTCTAATCCACTCAGACCTCCCACTGGCCAGCTGCAATTCTCCCTGTCCCAGCTCCCAAAGGCACGTTATTTTTAGAGCACAAACTCCTCCAGAGATCCATGGGAGCCTGTAAACTCAAAAATAGGTTGCTTATGGTACATTAGCAATGCTCACAGTTATGTTCTCTGGTGATTCTTTCAGCTGCTGTAGGTTATCACCAGACTCCCTCGCTGCTCCAATCAACCTCACCCTGAACAACCCTCACCCATTTAAAAAAAGAATATACTTGAGAGCAAATGCTTAAATGTTGTCCTGATTAACGGTGGACATAAGTACATGCTCAGGAACACTTTGAATCATGGAATTAGAGGAGTTTTCAGCCCTCAAGACCTTCTCCATTCCCTTACTGAGAATCTGCAAGGCTATGATTGCAGTCGGTTGGATGCCAATGTTGTTTTCTGGAATAAAAAAGACTAGATCCCTGAGGTTTCTGACCACAGAAAAAAGCAGTAGCTATTTTTATATAAGAAATTATTTAATGTATGTGCTGTTCAATACAGATGCAGCTTCAAAAATAAATAAAAATAAAGAAATTAATTGCAAAAATCTCACTATTTCATTTTCCTTTCTCAAAATTACAGTTTTAATGCTGCATCTTGCTTTTATTCTCTGAAAACACCCAACGAGTTAACAGCAAGAACACAAAATATTTACTCTTAAAAAATCACTAGTAGTTCCAGTTGTCAGTGTTTTCTGTTCTTAGAGAGCATGCTAGCTGAAAGAACAAGAAATATGAAATCTATTCAGATTTTGGCTGTATCTCCATATATGCAATTAAATGACCACATTTAGTGCTAATATTATATAATTAAAGACCATACATGAATCACTTGAGCACTGAATATTTTTTTTTTATTTCAATAGCTCCCAGCCCTATATATTTAACCCCAAAATCCTGTTAAGGCATCCTATTTTATAAGAAGTAACTTTCCACAGGATGAAAGAGACATTAGCACTTCGAAGAAGATCAGTGATTACAGCAAGTGCACCAAGGTTCAGTAAATGCCTCCCACTCAACAAGCTTCCAAAGTGAACGACCACATGATGTTTACTCCTCACCAGAACCCATTTATAGATCTCTTACTCACCACTACCTCAGCCATAAGTGCAACCCTCAAAAAGAGGCAGCAAGGAGAGCTCTATTTGGGAGCAGACAGAGAGTTCACAGTTGGAGAACTGGCCCTTGTCTTCACAATACTGTTTAGCCAGGCTGTGGGTCATGATTTAAGTCATCCACACTCTAAAGATTCCAAACTACTGAAAGTGTTTATTACATACCATGTGGATTGCACACAGACAACAGGTATGGCTGCTTGGGGAAAATTCTGCACTATTTGGAAAAATTGATA